AACAATAAACCGTCTACATTTTTTCTGTTATATAAATTAGTGTTTTTATTTATTTTAAATCAATAAGTGAAGCAATAAATGAACCACTTAATTTTTTTTTTTAATTTTAATATACAAAACGCTTCAAATTTATAACTTTTACAAAATTGAATATATAGAGTGATCCAAATGATTTAGTCATAAAAATTTGATTATACAGAGTATTCTAAATGATTTATTCATTAAAATTTGATTATACGGAATGATTCAAATTATTTAGTCGTTAACATTTGATTATAAAAAGTGAACCAAATTGTAGTATAGTTAGTAACACATGTACTAAATATCATATATATGTAAAGAAATTATTAGATTTCTTTAGTGATTTTTGATTATAAATAATAATTTGATAAGAAATGAAAATGATCAAAGAAATGATAACAAATATCAATGATAAAAAATAATTATTTAGAACACGTTAATTTAATATAATTAATTAACTTGGAATAATAAAATGTAAATAAAAAACTTTTATTGTCGTTTCTATATATTATTTTAGCAACACAAAATTGTTTTATTATTGGAAAATAAAAAGGAATTGTTTTATACAAGTATAATTGTTCTTATAAAACGACAAGATTTTTTTATGAAAAATGACAAAATTACAATTTGAATTTGTGATAAAACCATCGAGTGATGGAAAATCTAATATAATGGCTATAACTTCATTTACCAATGAAAAAAACCAAACTTTTGCAATACCAGAAGAATTACAGCAAATAAATCTTCATAAAGAGGTATGTAATACATCCGTCTACTTTAGTAAAAACCACCTTAAAAAAAAGACACCAATTTAGAAAAATTTGGATTGGTCTGACGGAGGAACTAAAAAAAGTTTACATTGATGATTATGGAAATATGATATTTGAAAACCAATATTTAGAAGAAATAACAGATAAACCGGCTGCTAATAGTATTTCGGATGAAAAAAAGACTTTGAATGATTTAAATCAGAACACTTTAAAACTTATAGAAAAATTTATGGAAAACACTCAGATGACAAGAAATCAAAACTTGAAAAAAATATCAGAACAGTTTGTACTTGAAAAATTCACAAGCAAGAATACAAATGTAAACCAATGGATAGGCATTTTTGAAATGGAATGTACATGATGTAATGAAAGATGAGCAAAAAATTGAAATTCTCAGATTGTTTTTAGATAAATCTTGCTCTGATTGGTACAGCTCTATGCTTATAAAACTGACCAGAGACTCTGATTGGAAAATATGGAAAGAATATTTTTGTGACACATTTAAAAACAAAGGGTGGAACCCAGTCACATATGCGTTAGTATACAAATATAAAGACGGTTCATTGTTAGACTATGCGATAAAAAAAGAGAAACTTTTATTGGACATGAGAAGATCGATTGATTCAGGTACCTTGATATTATTGCAGCTGGATTACCAGGTTTTATTCTTAATAAAATTGATAGGGAGATATTAAAAAACACAGTGGATCTCTTTAATGAAATCACCAAATATGAGCATTTAGTAAATAAAAAAAGTATTTTTGAGAAAAAAAAAATATTATAAATATAAATTACAAAGGACATGAGGAAAAAAAACCATGTAAAAATTGTGAAAGAATTTGATAAAAAATATAAAATATTTTTGTAAAAACTGTGAAATATGTATTAAAAATAAATCAAGGGGAAAAGACAAATTTGGTTTAATGTCTCATCTTGGTCCAGCTACAAAGCCTTTTGAAATAATCTCAATAGATACAATTGGAGGATTTGGTGGTTCAAGATCAACAAAAAAATATCTACACCTTCTAGTTGATCACTTTACAAGATTTGCATTCATTTTAACATCAAAAACACAAAATGCTAATGATTTTATAAAACTAATCAACAATATAGCAAAGACAGAGAAAATTGGGATGCTTCTCTCTGATCAATACCCTGGGATTAATTCAAATGAATTCAAAAATTTTTTAAAAAAGAAATCAATACCAATTGTTTTTACTGCAATAAATGCACCTTTCTCAAATGGAATAAATGAAAGACTTAATCAAACGCTGGTGAACAAAATCAGATATAAAATCAATGAGAGAAAAAAAAAAGTAGCCTGGACAACAATAGCGCAGGAATGTGTGAATCATTATAATGACACAGAGCATTCAGTTACAGGGTTTGCACCAAGATACCTGTTAGATGGCACAGATGTCACAGTTCTACCAAGTGAACTAAAAAAAGAAAAAAAAAATTACAAATAGATTGGATAAAAGATAGAAAGGTAGCATTAGAAAATACTACAAAATCGCACAACTATAACAATGAACTCTTTGATAAAAATCGAAAATATTTTGAATTTAATGTAGGAGATATGGTGTATATAGAAAATGGAAACTGAACAGAAAAAAATTGGATGAACTAAAAATCGGACCATATGAAATCATTAAGAAAATATCAAACTCAATCTATAAGATAAACACAGGTCACAAGAACTCAGAATCAACCCAATTCCACAATACAAAATTTATCCCGGTTCCTACATGGGAAATAAAAAAAAAAGAAAATAACTGAATATAAAATGAAAAAATAATAAAATATATTGCTTTAACTTCTCTAATGGGGGAGATGTAAATAAATTATTAGATTTCTTTAGTGATTTTTGATTATAAATAATAATTTGATAAAAAATGAAAATGATCAAAGAAATGATAACAAATATCAATGATAAAAAAGAATTATTTAAAACACGTTAATTTAGTATAATTAATTAACTTGGAATAATAAAATGTAAATAAAAAACTTTTATTTTCGTTTCTATATATTATTTTAGGTAAGTATTTTAAGCATGTAATAATACAATAAAATTGATTAACTAATAAAAGACTATATATTATTTTAGCAACACAAAATTGTTTTATTATTGGAAAATAAAATGGAATTGTTTTATACAAGTATAATTGTTCTTATAAAACGACAAGACTTGTTTATGAAAAATGACAAAATTACAATTTGAATTTATGGTAAAACCATCGAGTGATGGAAAATCTAATATAATAGCTATAACTTTAATTACCAATGAAAAAAACAAAACTTTTGCAATACCAGAAGAATTACAACAAATAAATCTTCATAAAGAGGTATGTAATACATCCGTCTATAGTTTAGTAAAACCACCTTAAAAAAAAAAAAGACACCAATTTAGAAAAATTTGGATTGGTCTGACGGAGGAACTAAAAAAAGTTTACATTGATGATTATGGAAATATGATATTTGAAAACCAATATTTAGAAGAAATAACAGATAAACCGGCTGCTAATAGTATTTCGGATGAAAAAAAGACTTTGAATGATTTAAATCAGAACACTTTAAAACTTATAGAAAAATTTATGGAAAACACTCAGATGACAAGAAATCAAAACTTGAAAAAAATATCAGAACAGTTTGTACTTGAAAAATTCACAAGCAAGAATACAAATGTAAACCAATGGATAGGCATTTTTGAAATGGAATGTACATGATGTAATGAAAGATGAGCAAAAAATTGAAATTCTCAGATTGTTTTTAGATAAATCTTGCTCTGATTGGTACAGCTCTATGCTTATAAAACTGACCAGAGACTCTGATTGGAAAATATGGAAAGAATATTTTTGTGACACATTTAAAAACAAAGGGTGGAACCCAGTCACATATGCGTTAGTATACAAATATAAAGACGGTTCATTGTTAGACTATGCGATAAAAAAAGAGAAACTTTTATTGGACATGAGAAGATCGATTGATTCAGGTACCTTGATATTATTGCAGCTGGATTACCAGGTTTTATTCTTAATAAAATTGATAGGGAGATATTAAAAAACACAGTGGATCTCTTTAATGAAATCACCAAATATGAGCATTTAGTAAATAAAAAAAGTATTTTTGAGAAAAAAAAAATATTATAAATATAAATTACAAAGGACATGAGGAAAAAAAACCATGTAAAAATTGTGAAAGAATTTGATAAAAAATATAAAATATTTTTGTAAAAACTGTGAAATATGTATTAAAAATAAATCAAGGGGAAAAGACAAATTTGGTTTAATGTCTCATCTTGGTCCAGCTACAAAGCCTTTTGAAATAATCTCAATAGATACAATTGGAGGATTTGGTGGTTCAAGATCAACAAAAAAATATCTACACCTTCTAGTTGATCACTTTACAAGATTTGCATTCATTTTAACATCAAAAACACAAAATGCTAATGATTTTATAAAACTAATCAACAATATAGCAAAGACAGAGAAAATTGGGATGCTTCTCACTGATCAATACCCTGNAACTCTTTGATAAAAATCGAAAATATTTTGAATTTAATGTAGGAGATATGGTGTATATAGAAAATGGAAACTGAACAGAAAAAAATTGGATGAACTAAAAATCGGACCATATGAAATCATTAAGAAAATATCAAACTCAATCTATAAGATAAACACAGGTCACAAGAACTCAGAATCAACCCAATTCCACAATACAAAATTTATCCCGGTTCCTACATGGGAAATAAAAAAAAAAGAAAATAACTGAATATAAAATGAAAAAATAATAAAATATATTGCTTTAACTTCTCTAATGGGGGAGATGTAAATAAATTATTAGATTTCTTTAGTGATTTTTGATTATAAATAATAATTTGATAAAAAATGAAAATGATCAAAGAAATGATAACAAATATCAATGATAAAAAAGAATTATTTAAAACACGTTAATTTAGTATAATTAATTAACTTGGAATAATAAAATGTAAATAAAAAACTTTTATTTTCGTTTCTATATATTATTTTAGGTAAGTATTTTAAGCATGTAATAATACAATAAAATTGATTAACTAATAAAAGACTATATATTATTTTAGCAACACAAAATTGTTTTATTATTGGAAAATAAAATGGAATTGTTTTATACAAGTATAATTGTTCTTATATATATATATATAGAGAGAGAGAGAGATTGTATAGACTGATGTAATACATATTGCAGCAATAAACAAAATACAAATCAACATATACCAAGAAAATTAATTAAAATGTAAAAAAATGAACTCTTCTTTAAGAAAAATTAATAAAAATAAATTTTTTTTTGACAATGAAAATTAATTACCTGTGCAATAAATCCAATAGCGATGACTGCCATCAATCTCCAGCTTAGTTATCCTGACACAACAGTAGCGCAATCTAAAAATTACAAAAACAAATTAAATTAATACTGCCATGTCCCTAAAATTATATTAACAATTTTAAAAATTACTATAGTTAAAAAATAAGTATAAAGGGAACAACAAATACACCCAAACAAAAAATTTAAAATATAACGATTGTAAAATTAAAATACGCGTTAATTATTACAGTCATTAATTATTGCAACTGCTGTACAACAATAGTCGATTACACATTTTAATAAATACTCGAGAACATCACAAAGATGTTCATGATTGCAAATAAATAAACATGATAACAAAAATGAATATTTTATGAATTTATTCAATACACATTACACCACATTGCAATCACCAATGGATAGATAAAATATCGACAGACTACTTTATTTAACAAATAAAAATAATGAATTACACATGTAATAGATCCGTTGTCGATCAGAGTCCTCGCACTTTGGGCCAACAGGCCGAGCTGTTTTCGAAGCAGTCCTCCGGGCACAACAAACGCCATCCAAAAATTACAAAATCAAATCAAATAAGACCGGCACGACCGTTAATATATCGACAATTAATAAACTACGTTAATCGTAATCGATATAAAATTACCAATCGCCAGTTTCGATTAATATAATCGCAATAGTAGAAGTACAAAATTTATAAAATCACATTAATTAATTAATGAATACAGTCACTAATAATAATAACAATAATGAAATAATGAAAAATAAACGACGTAGTAACGGTCGACGACGCACTAAACGGCGCGATGATAACGAACACGTTTGGGTGTCGGATGCGCTGATAACGGCGAGAAGCATATTAACATTCTGCCCACGAAATGTAACCCATCAAGAAATTCGCCTCTCTGACTGGCTACACATAATTTATGATAACAGTTCAAATTTTGCCCCCTTAATTCATAATTGTTTTAAAAAAACAAAATTATGACTGTGAGCAGTAATGTTTTCTTAATACACTTTTAAATAAAAAACAGAGACTTAAAGATAAAATAACAAAAAAACCAAGCACAGGGGGGTCGCGGCACATTGGTGACGTGGCATAGATGGATCAAGTATAATGATATCTGATAGTGATTAAAATCACTATCAAAATAAAACGCTTCGATGCAAATCTTTAGATAGTGTTTAATTTTAAAAAATTGATGTATTATTCCAAAAGCTACATGATCTGCTAGTTCCTTATTAATATCCTAATTAAGATAAAGTATGTCGAATGAAAAAGGGATTATTAAAAAATATTATTTCTCATAAAAAAATAATGTTGATCAATACACTTTTCAATATGTCATAGCATTATTAAGTTAAAAATGTAAAAAATAAAATCGAGAATTTTCACACAATAATAGCATTCAGATAGAAAAAAAAATATACCAAATGAAATGTAATGATATCATGCGTCTATAAAAAAAAAATTATATTGATCCATACATTTTTTAAAATGTTATAGCATTATAAAGTTAAAAATATAAAAAAGAATTTTTTTACAAAAATCGTATTTTTTTTATAAACTTTGATGTCTGTTTTCACCATGAAGATAAAATAAGGTCCGAAATTCTTTTTTTGCATAATAAAGTATATTATATTAGCTTTAATTTAAGATATATATAAAAGTGTCAGACTTTCCGGAACACTTTCAAAATTTAAGTTGAAAAAGTTCTACTTTCTACATGCATTTTTTAGATTTGAACCCCCCTCGTATATAGGGAAATGGTCGGATTTAAAAAAACAGTATGTCAAATGAAAGATGTATATAAATACTACTCCTCATGAAAAAATTGTACTGATCCATACATTTTTCAAAAAGTTATAGCATAATAAAGTTAAAAATGTAAAATACAAAATCGAAAATTTTCACACAAAAATAGCATTCGGTAGCCATTTTCACCGTGAAGATAAAATAAAGTCCGAAATTTTTTTTTTGCATAATAAAGTATATTACATTAGCTTTAATTTAAGATATATATAAAAGTGTCAGACTTTCCGGAACACTTTCAAAATTTAAGTTGAAAAAGTTCTACTTTCTACATGCATTTTTTAGATTTGAACCCCCTTCGTATATAGGGATTTAGTCCGATTTAAAAAAACAGTATGTCAAATGAAAGATGTATATAAATACTACTCCTCATGAAAAAATTGTACTGATCCATACATTTTTCAAAAAGTTATAGCATAATAAAGTTAAAAATGTAAAATACAAAATCGAAAATTTTCATACAAAAATAGCATTCGGTAGCCATTTTCACCGTGAAGATAAAATAAAGTCCGGAATTTTTTTTTTGCATAATAAAGAATATTACATTAGCTTTAATTTAAGATATATATAAAAGTGTCAGACCTTCCGGAACATTTTCAAAAATCAAGTTGAAAAAGTTAATTTTTTGTGAAAAAGTTGTCATTTTAAATCCCCCCCTGTGGGTAGGTTAAGGGTTAAATTTATGAAAAAAATATACCAAACGAAAGGTAATGATATTACACATTTATATAAAAAAGAATTATATNTTTTTTCCAATCAGTTTTTCAATAAAAATCATCACTATATGTTTGTAAACTATCAGTTAAATGATAAAAAATAAATATTCGTTATAGGCATTTAACTATAAATCCTAATTTAAAATTGATTATTTACTAGTATAATTAATTAGCATCTAAAATGATTGATAGCATTTTACAAATTTTTCATGAGACAATTAAACCACTACAGAGTACTTACAATAATGGTCTGTAGTCTGTGATTATAAAGTTTGTTTATATGGCACACAATTTATTTATATGTAGTTTTACATGCAAAAATTCTAAACATTAAATATACAGATTCTCTGTACAAAAAAATGACATAAAAAATAATGAATAACCATATAACAGCTTTAGAATAAAAGTCATAAGTATATATATATAATTATAAACCAATTTCACTATTTTGTTTTTTTTAAATTACAAAAATTAAAAACAAATAATTATAATATTAAATATTTACTAACCTGTACTCTTTAAATGCCTCAATTCGGCATAATGGGTAAAATGTGTTTGGCGCACAGGGTTCCAGGTTTAATTACCAGAATGTAACAAAATTATTCTTGTGATTTTCTTATTGGTGGTGTCAGATCTTTGGTCCAAGCCAGCCATAATACCCGTCCCATTTTTCATTGGCCTAGCCTAGCCAAGAGTGCTTGGTAATAATATGAAAACATTACATCTTAAGGATTTATTATGTATAAGAAAAAATTAATAAATTAAAATTTACAACAATGGTCAATTTTAAAAATGAAGAAAATATTTAAAAAAATATAAAATATAAACTATTAAATTTTGTTGAAAATATGTTTTTGATACCATAGAAACGATTTCTAGTAACTCAATTCATTCACAGCCAACTTTTATAACACTAATTTTTCCTAGTATAAAATTTCAAGGATATTTTTATATCTATTCATTATGCTGAAAAAAAATAAATAAAGTAGAATTCACAACACTACTTTTATTTTAAATGAGTACAAAATAATTAGAAAAAAAACTATTTAATATTGTTGAAAATATTTTTTGGGTACCATCCTGGTTTGCAAAAATCTATTNTTTTTTGGGTACCATCCTGGTTTGCAAAAATCTATTAAAATAATATTGAATATACATTTTTAAATCCATACCTAATAGACATAACATGTATCAATAAAGGATAGTTATTACTTTAGTTTTCATTTTATTTTCTAGAAACAGTGGAACTTTGATTGTTCGTCATTCTCTGCATTAAGCATACCCAACTTATTGTGATATATGTAATGGGGCAAATATGAATAAAAGTTTAAAATAGTAAAAAATCTAATACACAAAATAAACTTTTTGCATACATTGTATTTTACAATAACGTTACCAAAAGAATTTAATCCCTTTTTTTTCATAAATTAATCAGTTACTAAATCATAAATGATGTCATATTTAATATTCCTAGTGCATGACTGTTCATAAGCGGAGATCTTATTAAATATTAGGAAAGCTTAAATTTTCAGCTGCAGACAGTCATATAGCCTTTGCCTCCACACCTCTTACTACAAATTTATGTATGAAATATTGTAACACATTGCATATTTTTACTATTTCATTTTTATTTTTTTCATTGCTTAGAAACTTCTCTTGAATGTAGCAAAACTAACTGGAAATGTCTTAACAAATTGGAGCATTTTATAAGAATTAATCAATACTTAAAGGGTATTATTCATTTTGAAATCTTCAATCTCTTTTTCTAGGTTAGCAAGGCAGTTTTTAGCCACCATCATTTCTGATTTAAAGCTATCTTGGTAAATGTTTAAACCTGGTAAACCCTACAAAAAAAATATTGTCATTTATAATCATAGATAATAATTTAGAAATTATATTGTGCGTTTATATATATATTAAGATAAATTAATAATTTTATTATAAATCACTAAAACATCAAAAAAATAATCAATGAAATGAATACTACTAACATAATTTAGTTCAATAAATTTATCAACCTCAACAGTTAGAAGCATATTCTCTATGGAAAATTGCCTTCTTAAATTTTGTTTAAATGAATCTAAGATTTTATAATATATTTTGAATTTGTAATAATCTTCAGCTTTTGTTGTGTCTTGACACATTGCTTCAAATATGCATCTGTAGTAGTGCTTACTATAAATTGAGTAAAAATATACTAAAAATCATGGATATGTATTTTGGAAACAATGTTACCATTATCAACACTAAACAAATACTAAATTACTGATTAAATTAATTTAATTAATTGATTACTGAAGCTGATTTTCCTAAAGCAGCATTTTTATTTCGTAAAATATTGCTTAATACATTTATGGAAAAGAAGATGTTGTGCATGATGAACAAAAACTATAATAAATGGCTCCTTTTGTAATTGTTGAGAGTATTTCTAACAAAACAACAATCAATGAAATGTATATCAATTGGATAAAAAACAATAGTGGTTAATAAATTATATCTTTTTCTTCATTAACATCTCTAACAACTTCATTTTCAATTTCTCTTTTAGATACAATAAGAATACTTTTGAAACATTGTTTAATGGCTTCACAGTATTTAAATATACAATTCCATCTAGTAATGTGACACATAGTTCTTGTTTTTATACCTAAGTTTTTTTGCAATTTAACTAATGACAATTCTTTGGGGGATGAGAAAGATGAATGTATATACACTTAATTGTGTTAAAAAAACTAAAGGTTTCTTAAAAATTTTAATTATTACAAAATAAAAGTTTAACATTTTAATATAACAAACATATTTTATTAATATTGGTTTTTACTTTAAACATTTTGCACATATCTGCAACCAAAAGATTTACTCTATAAACCATATAATGAGTAAAAATTGAACGTAGAAATTTAATTCTTATTTCTGTTTGACTCCATTAAATTTCAAGACATGATGTCAGCACCATCATAGGNATATATATATATATATATATTAATCATGGGAACGGAAGCCCCTTTGTCTTATATATAAAGTATTAACCAGGCAAGCATCTAGTCTTTCTAGAACATTCGAGGCTTGCTCAGTCCTTTTCAATGTATTGGGCCTATGGCCGCCGCCTCCAGAGGCGATGCGCCAGTAGTAGTCAACTTCTTGTTCAAGAGTCATATAGTTCATAGGGTCGAACCTGGACACCTCTCCACTGAATCACTTTCACTGAATCTTTTATGTTATTTTGTTCACTGAATCTTTTATATTAATTAAGTATCAACTCATTAAAGTCGTAAAGACAATTATAAGTGTAAATATATATTTAAATATAATAAATAGCAACTAAATTCAAACGCATTATCACTTCATTTTGTCTACCGTACCAACCCGGTCACAACAATAGGTTTCATTGAAATTTCCTAAGAAAAATCATTTATAAAGAAATTAATCTTCTCAGTCTTAATTACTTATTATTATGTGATTGATTAGATTATTTAAATTATTTCCTTACCTTGATTTAATGATGAATTATTTTTATTGTATCAGGCCTTGTAAACTAAATACATTTTTGTCAATTAGACTTTTCATATATTACCTATTAGTGGCAACTTCTAGTTATTAGATAGGTATGAACAGTGTCAGTTTTTTTGACAGTTATGTTTAATGTCCTGTCCTTTTAGCAATACGAGTTAAATGAGTTTTTGTACTAGCATGAGCATCAGGCTTTGTTAGTTTTCCTTTTTATAACAAACAAATAATAAAAGTTAATTTTTGAACAATAATTATGACACACACAAAAATATTAAACATCATAAAATGAAGGATTAAATCGATGGTTTTGTTAATGGAAATAGCTAAATATAATTCATTAGCAAATAGTAATTAAAATATACAATTATATTTAATATACAATATAAATATTATGTTGTCAATTTTATACACAATTTACCTCTAATTTTGATCTTTTTGGACCATTTTGTACTATTTGCAATATCCAAGCTGGATGTCTGTAAGACAAATTTAAAATATAAAAAGCGAAAGAACTATACGTCGTAATAAATCCAAAAATAGAGTAATTTATGTAATATGATTTTTAATTATTTCTTACTTGATTAGAAGTCATCGCTGGTTCAGAATTTTTTGGTTTAAAGATATCAAATAATTTAGAATTCATTATTTTATAAACAAATTAATACAAAAGTAAAAAAAAAAACAAATCTGTGCTACAATACAGATTTATTTCTCCACATAGAGAAGGCGCAAATTTACTACGATAACGAACGATAGTATTCCACAGCTAAATATAGAATTTGTCGAAATAGATATTATTCCTGTCAATATAACGCATAGGCTAAAGAATGTTAACAATAGCATTATGTATGTTATTTCTACCACAGATAATATAAATGCATATACTATTAATATTTTATAGCGTTATAACTTTTATTAATAAAATATGCATTTTGGTAAAAATAAAATGAAGTTTATATACAATTAATATATCTATTATAGAGAAATATATTTTTCATGTTCAAAACCATTAATTTTTACAACATACTATGAGGGCGCTTTCATTGCGAATACTTTTTCAGAAGGGTTAAGTCTCCCATCCCGATCACCACCAATGGAGCTGATCTTACAATGTCTAATCTGATAAATGGATGGAATAAACTATTTTAAATAAAATGTCACAATAAATATTCTTATATGTTTATCATAAGTGTACACTGCACTGTAGCAGTAGGATAACACTCCATCTTTATCATTCCGATAGCACTTATTATTTGTAATCCTATTTTTATATATACATGTATATATATATATGTTGTAAAATTATTAATTATTGTAAATTATTAATTGTAGTATTTTTAATAAATTAATCTATTCACAACAAATTGGCGACCTCTAAAATGAACAATAAATCCGATAGTAAGCGTGCGTGACGACGCGACGGATAACGATGGCCGAGACCATATCGCATACGACTAGTCCAATATGAATTCGACGCGAGCGTTTAAATTTCCAACTTTCTGGCGTACCAACCCAGAATTTTGGTTTAAACAAATTGAATCCGTTTTTTACACAACCAGAATTACATTTGATGCAAGTAAATTTCACCATGTTGTTTCTGCTATGGAAAGTAAAATTCTCCTATAAGTTAGCGACATAATACTCATCCCACCAGAAACTAGAATGTACGAGCCATTAAATACCCGGCTCATCGAAAGATTTTCCGAATCAGAACAATGTCGGCTAAAAAAATTACTGACCAAAGTCGAACTCGGTGATCGCAAACCATCCCACTTCTTTTAGAAATGCGTCACTAGCTAAGGGAAAAGTAACAGATGAAATATTCAAAATACTATGGATGCCAAGGTTACCACCTCAGGTGAAAGCTATAATTTCTGCTAGTAATGACAACTTAGCTACAATGGCATATAAAATTATCAAAGTATCGAACAGTCGAAATGATGGTTTTTCCATTTCCAGCGTTAGTGACAGGTCACAACCGTCAGTTACATGAACAAGCTGACGATGCAGTGATAATAAAAAAATATAGTTTAAAAAAACTTAAAAAAACACGCTTTTAAAGCACATCGAACTAAAAAGTTAAAAATAATTTTTAAAGTAAGCTTAAAACAATAATGAACGAAAAATACTAGTATTATTGGGATAAAAGCGTGGATGCTTTGTGCCATATTTTTCGTATATTGAGCGCCCGACGCTTTTATCACAACAATACTAGTATTTTTCGTTCATTATTGTTTTAAGCTTATTTTAAAAATTATTTTTAACTTTTTAGTTCGATGTACTTTAAAAGCGTGTTTTTTTAGTTTTTTTAAACTATATTTATTTTCCACTTTTTAGTTACATGTTATGATAGTAGTTACTATCAATATCGTGGTTGTAACGGGTAAAGGGGAATCAGGGTTCGATTCCGTAGAGGGAGTCTGAGAAACGACTACCACATCCAAAGAAAGCAGCAGGCGCGCAACGTGGAGGTAGTGACGAAAAATGACGATACGGGGATCACCTTTGTAATCGGAATAAATATCCTATATACCTCTTAATGAGAATAAAGCGTATTAATATATAAGTTTTAATAGTAATTAGAATATATATATATATATATACATGTAAAGCGACTTAAGTACGTAAACGTATAACGCGCGGTGTTGGTCAGCCAAATACTCATAAAATAGGGCGACGGCTGATAAAGGTGGCACGAGTCGTGGGGCATCGTGTATAACGAAACGACGCGGGGCCGTGTCAATCACAATAAAAATTTGTTATAAATATATATAATTGATGACACGCACGCGTATACGAGTACGAAAACCAAAAATAAATATATACAAGAAAATATTGTTGGTGGCGAGTGGTAAGTCGGGTGGGGTGAATGCGTTACGACAGTCTAGTCTCAAGGTCATACACGACGGGATACGCGACATAATAACACGTGCCGCTTGGAGAGTTACAAACTTACAACATACAACAAACAAACAAACAACATACATGTGAAACTAATATAAGCGTGTTAAAAATTGGAACATCTGATAGCAGCACTCACACAAGCAGTAGAGCGACTTAGCCGCAGCAACTCTCGTAGTTACAATAGACGTCACTCAAAATCACCTGCGCGCCGAGACAATTCACGACCACGATATGATACGTGTTATTATCGTTATCGGTTCAAAGATAAGGCTACTGAATGCAAGCCACCGTGTAAATACCAGAAAACTAAAATTATATATTGTTGAGACGACCGACAGTAGTGAGTTTCAATCTCGTCGCCTATTTATTGCTGATAAAATAACAAAAATTCAATACTTATATGATACTGGTGCGGATTTATCGGTTTGGCCCGCAGATCCTAAACAGAAACGCAGTAATATGAAAGATTGTAACCCTGATTTATTCGCACTCAACGGGTCAATAATAAAAACATACGACGAAAAATTAATTGCTGTAAATTTAGGTTAGGTTTTTAGGTGTTGAATATGTCAATAAGAGTTCATTTTTGTCAATAAATGCCTTTAAAAATATAGGTATAAATAACTGTGCTATGTACACATATTTTTCACTTACGATGTTAAATATCACTTTCTTTTTGATAATATTAGTAAGGATATTCATCGAGGACGTGTCAAAAAATTCCCCACGTATACCTTGAAGTTTAACGTGATACTCTTCGGGCTGTTTACAATTCTTTTCATTTACTTTGGTAACTGTTAAATTTTGCAAGTAGTCATAATATCTTATGACAATCCCATCTCCTCTCTCTAACGGCGCCATAATTATGTTCAATAATAACGCAAACGAATTTAACGGCTGTTTCCTGAAATAGTCAATATGTTCGACTTGCAAATTTCGCGTTGATTTCAAGATTTTTGAACTTTGATTTCGACGCGACCGAGACTTCTAGACTGATTGACTTTCACAAGAGCTTATATGTTCTTTGTTCGCTGGTTAGACTAATAGCCCCAATGCATTTTTAGTTTACTAGATCTTTTATACTAATTTTTTTCCAATTTTTTGGCCAACGACAAATAACGTTGCTAAAACAAATTTAATTTTAAATTGTTAATTTATTTCAAAAATAAATATATTATTCACGATCGCCATAAGTTGTTTTCAGCCAATATTTAAAATACATTTTTTCAAATTATACATGTATACGTCAGAATAAAAATCAATTGTAATTTAATGACCGAAATAAGTTATCGAAAAAATTTTATAAAAAAAAATATTCTTTGTTTTATAGAAATAGTTTTTAAGGAATTGATAGTAGCTTTATTTAATGAACATACTGGTACGGTTTGTAACTTTATATTAATTACATTTTATTAAACAAATTTAATAATTGTTGCCCAATTGTTAAAAATATTTTGTTATATTAATTGGCTTAAATAAAAAGTAAACAAGTTTTTTTTGGCCAACGACAATTAACGTTGCTAAATAAAAATTTTTCATTAATTCAAAGATCAATAATTTATTTAACGATCACCATAGATTGTATTTTAAATAAATATATTTAAATTATATTTTTTCGAGTTATTCATATTATAAAAAAAAAATTTCTACTCTTAGTTTCATAGAAATAGTTTCTAAAATAGAACACATTTAAACAAATTTAATAATAGCTAAAAATGTTTTGTTATATTAATTGGCTTAAATAAAAAATAAACAAGACATGTTTGCAATTTACATAAAAAACCTGGCGATGGACTTAAATACTCCGACGGAGTATAATCATGTGAATGTACATGTTGGGGAATTTATAGATTATATAATAGATTATTTATCGTTTTATATAGAGGAAGATTGCCGAAAAAATAATAAATATGATTTACCCAGTGGCGTATTTTGGGGGGGTGTCCTCCATGTCTGGACACCCCCCGACTTAAAAAAAATGCCTAATATATTGGTATTAACTTATTTTATAATATACTATATTTATTTACTATAAAATAAATGGTATTTTAAATAAATAACAAAATTGAAGATAATTTGATAGGATTCGACGACACGTATTTATCTACATTTTATCAGAGATTTCTAGAAATTATTTGGATTTCATTGGGTCATTTAAATAACAAAAATACCCGTAGCAAAAATATAATAACAACGGAAATATTCTGAACTTGTAGTTCATTTTTAAATTTATTTTATAGTTTATCAGTTTAGAGAATTATAAACAAATAAGTTTAGTTACCCCTATTCAATATACCGCATTCATAAAAAATACAGAAAAGAATTTTTTATAATTAAAATAGTATTTAAAAAATAAACAAAAGTTATGAAATTCTTTATGAATCGTCATTTAGTAAAATTAAAATTAAGTTGTTAAGATAGTAGATACGCTTGTTAATTTAAAAATTTATAATTGGCTGACTTTTTAACTTAATTGTATCCATAACTGTATATTATAATATTTGTATATTCACATAACAAGAACATTAAATTATTTCAGTTAAGATAAATTTATATTAAATTTGAATTTCTTAAATGAAATGTTACAAAGAAAAATAAGATTAAAATAAAATAACAAAACAACAATTAAACATAGAAAAAGTAAAAAAATGTTTGGTGGTATACAAATAAAAATTTCAATTTATAGTGAATATTAAGAAAATTGATATAAAATACAAAAATAAAATTTCATTCATAAAAATATTAATTGAATAGCTCGCCAGCAATAATTTCATTTTTGTGTCTTAATCTTATAAAAGGCATAAAATTTGCATTTA